TTATTTTTATGGCTTCTTCTATCGAAACCGGAGGGGCGTGGAGCACCATGGAAGATGTTTCCTTGTGTGAGGCTTGGCTCCAAGTTTGTCATTGTCCCGTGACAGGCAATGAGATGAAATTTTTTCATATGTGGAAAAAAATGCATGCCGAATTTTGTGAAAAAATTCCGGAGTCGACTCGTATGGAAATGACACTATCTAGTAGGTGGAAAATTCTCAATAAAGAGTTGGGAAAATGGAGAGATGCCTTGGCAAAAGCGATGGACAACTATAGAAGCGGGGAAAATCGTACTAACGAGGTAAGTATTTTGTAATTTTCGTTTTATTAAGTTTAATGTCCTAATATATATATTTTGTTAATATTTATTGCATTTTCAATATTTTGTAAATATTTCTTGCATTTTAAATATTTTGTTAATATTTCTTGCATTTTCAATATGTTGTTAATATTTCTTGCATTTCCAATTGTTTCTTAATATTTCTTGCACTTCCAATTTATTTGTAAGGTTAATTGCATTTCCAAAAATTTTATCCGATTATGAATAGTCTTGACACGTAGGAACCCGGAAATCTTATCCGAAAATATTATCCAAATTAATTATTGAGGTAAAAAAATTTGTGAAAAAAACAAAATAATGAATAGTAATTGCCCTTAGCCATGGCAACGAGAAATTATAGAATTATACGGTACTACCACGTCAGCGTATAGTACTTCCATTCAAATACAGCCACATGTCCATTTTATAAAAGAAATTAATTATCTCATTTCACAGCTGGACTTTCTAGTTTAATTCTTAACTTTAGAAATAAAATTAGAAAATTAAAATTAAAAAAAAGAATTTTGTAACAGCCAACTATCTCCTAATCCAACAACCCTAATCCCAACTACCTGCTATGACTGCCACCCCTCTCCTTCCACTATCTTCACTTCTTATACTAATTGTAGACGGGGGATTTTAGAGGAAGGAGGATTAAACTGGTATTGATGATGATGAAATGGAGTAGTCTTGATAATTAAAAATTGGTTCGTTCTTGAGGGTCTAGATTTGGGTCTGAAAATATTCCAAGGTGGCAGTGGGTTGAAGCTGGTGGTGGAATTAACATTGTGTAGAGTGTCGTGATTCAGAAAAAAATAATAATAAGGGAATAACTTTCTAGTTTAATTCTTAACTTTAGAAATAAAATTAGAAAATTAAAATTAAAAAAAAAAGAATTTTGTAACAGCCAACTATCTCCTAATCCAACAACCCTAATCCCAACTACCTACTATGACGGCCACCCCTCTCCTTCCACTATCTTCACTTCTTATACTAATTGTAGACGGGGGATTTTAGAGGAAGGAGGATTAAACTGGTATTGATGATGATGAAATGGAGTAGTCTTGATAATTAAAAATTGGTTCGTTCTTGAGGGTCTAGATTTGGGTCTGAAAATATTCCAAGGTGGCAGTGGGTTGAAGCTGGTGGTGGAATTAACATTGTGTAGAGTGTCGTGATTCAGAAAAAAATAATAATAAGGGAATTAAGGAAGATGATGATATTAGGTTTGGATGTTGATAGTCTTCATGAGGGGCGGCGATGACAGTGGTGAATGGAAAGAGAGAGCGGAGGAAGAGGAAGAGGAAGAGAGAAGGATGGCTGCCATGGTTTTTCTTCGTTTAAGTTTTCTTTTTTCAAATTTTATTTCAAAAGTTAAGAATTAATAAAGTAAAAAGTCTAGCTGTAAAATAATAATTAATTTCTTTTATAAAATGGACACATGGCCATATTTGAGTGGGAGTACTATACGCTGACATGGTAGTACCGTATCATTCTATAATTTCTCCATGGCAATGGATGGAAACACAAAATACTATTTGCAAGGGCAACTACTGTTCACGTGAATAGTGGCTGCCCTAGCTCCCCCTTGCCATGGCTAAGAGCGACTCTAGTGGTGCGCCCAAGCCTCTGTCTGGGGGGTGTTTGGGCCAAAATCTTGTTTCCAGCGGCAAGGGCTTGCCCTGACAGGAGATGGGGCCCACGAACCCAGGCTAGCCCTCAGGCAAGATCTGCCTTAGTTTCAACCCCAGTTTGTTGATGTCATTAATGACGTCAGCAACAAAAAAAATTGAAAAAAATCTACAAAAAAATGTGAAAAAAATTCGAATAATTATTTAAAAATTCACCAAAAAGTTATGAACTGTTTTTCTATAAATACCTACCATTCTTCTTTATTTTCAACACAAAATCCTCTTATAATTTCTTCTCCTTCTATTAATTTTTATTTTCTACACAAAAATTTCAACACATTCAATACATTAAACAAAATATAATTAAAAGAAATCTTATCTGAAATATTCTCAAAGTTAATTCTTTAGAATTTAAAAACAAAATATTATCCGAAAATATTATTGAGGTAAAAAAATTTGTGAAAAAAACAAAAAAATGAATAGTAATTGCCCTTAGCCATGGCAACAGGTTGAAACACAAAATACTATTTGCAAGGGCAACTACTATTCACGTGAATAGTTGCTGCCCTAGCTCCCCTTGCCATGGCAAAGGGCAAATGGGTGGAGTTGGGGCAAATGGGTGGAGTTGCTCTTGTGAAACTTTTTTTTGAATAAAATGTCTTCTCCGACAAAAAGAACAGTCATGGAGTATTTTTGGTCAAAAAGCAGTCGTGGATTGTGAAAAAGGACGCCATTTTTTTCCTTTTTTTTCTTTTCGTAAATGCTCTTTGAGCTAGGCCTTGTATTCTGAAACGACGCATCACTGGGAACAGCCCCGGGTCTTCTTCCCCAAACTAGAACCAAAGTGCAATTCTCTCAAGGTCGCCAAAAATGGCGGCCACCAAGCACAAAGCTCCCGCGCGGAGCTTGGAGAAAATGAACTCGAGGGTTTGGCTCTTTTCGCTTCTACTTACTCTGCAATACGGAGCTCAGCCCCTGATCTCCAAACGCTGCACCAGGTACTTCAACGCCTTGATCCTTCAAATTTGTATGAGAAAATCATCAATTATCGAGCATATTGTCTGAAATTTGAATGTATTTTATGTGATTGGTACTTGCAGAAGAGAAGTGATCGTAACGTCGTCTGTTCTGACATGCGAGATAGCCAAAGTTGTATGTGCCCTAATTTTCATGGCAAGAGACGGTAGCTTGAAGAAAGTGTACAAAGAGTGGACTTTGGTTGGTGCCTTAACTGCTTCGGGCCTTCCCGCTGCCATTTATGCACTGCAAAATAGTTTGCTTCAGATTTCTTACAAGAACCTTGATTCACTTACCTTCTCAATGCTCAACCAGACTAAAATTATTTTTACTGCTCTCTTTACATATTTGATACTGAGGTATGAGGCTACCACACATTGTAACTCTGAATATGCTTAATGAATCAACTAGTTTTGATAATTTTTTTAACAGTTCTGATGCATCTGACAGTACCTATTAGACTGATTTTATTGTGGTATGAGGCTACAGTACCGTTGCAATTCTGAATATACTTGATGAACTAATTAATTAAGACAAAATTTTGAGAGTTCTGAGGCATCTGACTGTACCCATTAGACTGATTTTGGGTGCAATCTGTCATGTGTAGGCAGAAGCAATCAATCCAACAAATTGGGGCTCTCTTCTTGTTGATTCTGGCAGCTGTTCTTTTAAGTTTTGGTGAAGGCTCCAAAAAAGGGTCTAGTGCTAGCAATTCTGACCAAATATTGTTTAATGGGATTATTCCCGTCATGGTTGCCTCTGTACTCTCAGGTTTGGCATCCACTTTGTGTCAATGGGCATCCCAGGTTAGCCAAACATTTCAGTTTCTGTGGTTTGAACTTTGAAGGACTATTTTGTAGTCTGTTTGTTTGGTTCTCTGATCATTTTGGTCTCCTTTTATATTACAGGTTAAGAAACACTCATCATACTTGATGACTGTAGAGATGTCTATTGTGGGAAGTTTATGCCTGTTGGCTAGTACCTTTAAGTCTCCAGATGGAGAAGCTATTGCAAAGCATGGCCTTTTTTATGGATGGACTCCAATGACTTGGGTAATGATCATCATGATATTGACATTTTCCTATAGTTTTTGCATATTGGTTTGACTCCTTTGGAGTTTCTTTAATTGCTTAGTAGCTCCCATTCCATACTCAACAAAACCACCACAGCCATTGTTTAGTTTGGAAGGCAGACACCACAATCTAGTTCTTATTAAGTAAATTATTATTTGTCTTCAGCTCATGGTTTACATCTAAAGGAAAACATTTTGGAAGGTCATGCTGCTTCTTTCTGGTCCGCTGTCATTTAGAAATCCATCAGCACAGCTTCTATTTCCCATTTTCTTTCTTTCTTTCTTGGGTGTTGTCTTTTTCCTATTTTCTTTGCTTTCTTTATTTGCATGCGTCTGCTTGTAACAAAGCAAGTGCACGGTCTTTTCAGAACACAATTCTTGAGTCTGCTTGAAAACACTACTTACTGATCTTATCATATGATTATATCGGTGGGCGACAATTGTCAGATGTTAAGCAAAATGGTGCATGCTGGGGTTTACTTTTCTATTGTATTTGAAACACCTTACTTCGCCAAGATAAGAAGATGGACAATTTTGATAAATATTGTAAAGAATTGTATTTTGGATAGTGATTGATTTTTTTTGTAAATTATACTTGGCAAAGAAAAAAAAAGTAATTTCATGGGTTATGGTGTGCCTTTACAAATAGTTTCTTTTTGGTTTTTTTCCTTGTTCCAGATCCCAGTCATGTCCAATGCCCTTGGTGGAATTCTTGTTGGTCTAGTCACAAGCTATGCCGGTGGCGTTAAAAAGGCAAGTTAACAACTAAGGATAACAAGAGCAGTTATTATCAGATGGCTTCAAGTTCACTCTAAGCTTTGTTTGATATTTTGTTGCAAACAGACAGGCTGAAAGCGAAGAAAAAATAAATCCTAAATGGCGTATTGATTTACTCCCATGCTTGACCGCTTGAATGAACATGCTACCTACTTTAAGAAAAAAATAGCCTGGTTGCCTTATCTGCTTTATTTGTGGAACATGTAAAGGCAGCTGAATCTGATCTTGTTAGTGCTAAGTTTCATGCTAACCTTCATTGATAATTGTTTTACAATCTGACAAAATATACAGATTAATCTATCCTTTGGCATACCCTTGTAGTTGTTGACTGATCATTTTGTTCACCATGGCTGGGAAGATAACTTGTTTCCATCTTTACATGAATTTCTTATACATATTTTGTTCTTGCAAGGCCAATTCAGTTCTAAATATACTTACTGCAGAAGTTTTTTCTACTATGGTTGCAGGGTTTTGTCATTGTTTCTGCACTTCTTGTTACGGCTTTGTTGCAGTTCATTTTTGAAGGGAAACCACCTTCATTGTATTGTCTCGTAGCTCTTCCTCTTGTGGTTAGCAGCATTTCGATATACCAGAAGTATCCATACCGAGTTAAAAGGAAAGAACTGTAAATCCTATCGCAACATCGGCGGAGTTGTTTTAGCCCTTATCACTAAGGGCTTTAAATGGTTGGACTTATTGGAACTGGTAGATGCCAAGATGGCAGAGAGTATGGAAATTTATTATATTTTACCTCCTAGTTAAGGAATGTAATCGCGCATTGTATGTAGCTTAAACATTTGAATGGGGTCTTTAATTTTGTGAAAGACCTCTTTGACCTGTCTCACAATCATTTGATATGAAGGTAATTGTAATTGTCTCCTGTTGTAATAGTACAATTGATACATGAAGATATTTTAGATGATAATTATCATTGCATGATTCTGCTTCTGTGGAGTAAGTAGCTGGATATCGAATAGAATTAGAACAAAATGAAACTTCAGATTAGAACAATGTGCCCCCCACAAGGCCCGCGACCATATAACAATTCAAAGTGCTGCTGTTTTTGCTTCTTGACATAGTAGTGAAGGGTCCATCGAGTTGTGTTTAAGGTTAGCCGAAGTGGCAAGGTAGAGGGGGGGTAATGTGTTAAGTTAGTACAAGAATAGGTTCTGATTTTATCCAATACAACCGAAAAAAAGAGAGAAAGGTGTTGGATTAAAAAAATTCCTAGACGGTAACATCATGAGCTATCATAAGAAGGAAGAAAGAGTAGTACGGTCATTCATGTGACAATGAAGTCCGCAATGATAATGAAATACGTTGGACATAAGTGCCCAATTTACCCGATTCCCATCGCCACCGTTATCTCCACCAACACCACCACAACTACCTCCTAACACCTAATGCTTACCCATTGCCCATCCTAACCGTAGCAAAAATATGTATTTATTTATTCATTTATTTGTCAAAGTTAGGAAGGGCAAGGTAGAATAGGTTTTGATTTTATCCAATACAACAACAAAAAAGAGAGAAAGGAGTCGTGTCCGTCCAGGGTGTTGGATTAAAAATTCCCAGACGGGTAACATCATGAGCTATCATAAGAAGGAAGAAAGAGTAGTGCGGTCATTCATGTGACAATGAAGTCCGCAATGATAATGAAATACGTTGGACATAAGTGCCCAATTTACCCGATTCCCATCGCCACCGTTATCTCCACCAACACCACCACAACTACCTCCTAACACCTAATGCTTACCCATTGCCCATCCTAACCGTAGCAAAATATATGTATTTATTTATTCATTTAGTTGTCAAAGTTAGGAAGGATAAGGGGAAACTCACACACGGGTATTATGGAAGCTTGAATTTAGGACCACGTGAAAGCACACTAAGGCCCCGTTTGGTTCACGGAATGGATTTGATGGGAAATCATTTCCCATGTCATTTCTCAAGGGATAGGAAATTGCGATTCCTTTCCTATGTTTGGTAATGCGGGAAAGTAACCCAGAAATATTACTTTAATTCCTTTCCCATGTTTGTTTTGAGTAGGAATGGAAAACTAATTTTGTTTAGTTTCCCAATTTTACCCCTATTAAAAATATGTTATGAATTAAAAAATAAGAAAGGAATACCAATAGTTGTTGGATAAAACTATAATTATAAATTATTAGTAAGGACAAATTAGTCAAAAAGAGGTGCATTTAATGTTAGCTTTACTTTCCCATGAGAAGGGAAAGTAAAACCCAAGGAGGGATGATGACTTCACTTTCCCCCCTACTTTCCCATATCCAAGGCAACAATTTCTCATGCCTGACTTACCAAACATGGGAAAACAATTGATCTCCCATTCCCACGTTTCCTTTCTCATGAACCAAACGGGGCCCAAAGACCTGGGTCAATCCAACTAACACCCTATTGGTATCCTAACCATAGCATTTCTCTAAAGAAGAAATGAAGAATTTTTGTATTTTATTGAAGAATAAAATTCGTATAGGATTAGGATTTAGTTTTCGGGCCGATCATCAAATTAGGCCCGGCCCAGTGCAGTGGTCATCAAGAGAAATGGCAACCGAGTGAGGAAGTGAAGAATTGACACAAGGTCCGGGCAGCGCCATCTCCACTCTCCTCTCAAAATCAATCCAAAAAACTCTCCAAAATCACAGAGAAGGGAACGAAGAAGACAGAAAACAAAATCAGTCATGGGAAGTAGATTGGGGAGGAGGGTAATTCACTTCGCAAACCTACCCATCAAGCTCTTAATGCCCACCAACTTCACCAACATCAGAGAAATCGCTCTCAAAACCATCCCATCAGCTTCCAAGGTCGAAATCAAGCGCGTCCTCGAATCCCTCTACGGCTTCCAGGTCGAAAAGGTCCGTACGCTCAACATGGAGGGCAAGAAGAAGAAGCGCGGTGGCCTATTGTTCGCTAGACCCAATTACAAGAAGGCCTACGTCACGCTCAAGAACCCGCTCTCGCTCTCTCAGGACCTCTACCCGATTGGAGTAGTCGAGCAGGAGAGGAAGCAGACGAGCAAGCAATCCAAGTCCAGCGTCGTCGAAGAAGGTGAAACTGAGAAGCATTGGCTTTACGGGAAGGACAAGGAGGAACCTCGGAGGGTTAAGAACGACAAGGGTTCTGCTGTTTTCGGCGACGGTGTGGCCAAATTTCCCTGGAGCACCATGAGGTTTCGCTAGGCAGGTTTGAAGACTTTTGGAACTGGGTTTATGTTTTTGGTTGGGATTTTGAAATTTATGATATTTGAAGTTTGGGGAAAACTTCTGGCCATGTTTGAAGACTTTTCAATAGGACTGGAGCATTTAGCTTTCAATTAGCAGAATAGTATAATATTTATGGTTAATCGTTCTGATGATGCATGGTTATTATCTTTTACTTTACCAATAATTGTGCAAGCTCATATGTGATTAGTACTTGTGAAGTTCGAAATTTTTGAGGATAGAAGCATATTGGAAACTTGCATTGAGTATTTTTTCTATCTCCTCTAATAGGATTATTATGACATATGACATGTAAGAATTTTTTGTTTTTGTTTGATTGATAATCAATGTAACCAGAAAAAATGACCAAGTACTCCTCCAAAAGTTTAGCATAAAAGTTGTTTGTCCTCTAATTATATTCGACCGAAGAAACTTGTTGCTGCTTGAGCATCTCGTGTGACCCATTGCTGAAAGCTTGTAGGCTTGTAGTTGTAGCAAAGGATGTAGTCTGCTAGACGTTCTATAGGAGGCAGAATTATTTTAGAGAAAATTAATGTGTAAGAATAGGAAAACTACAGACATTTTTTACTTTTTATTTATTTTTGTGTATACATTATGTATAGGCAAGCAATAACAAACTATCAACTATCCCTAAGACAGTTGATATGGAGTTCTTAAAGGCTTAACTCTCATATGGTGTGGGGTGTCTTGGCTTCCTAGGTTAATATAATTTAGGGCATGGATGACCTTCGTCTGAAGGGGAGTCTGCTGCCAGCTGGGCTGGATCTTTGTTGGCCTTCTCCAGTTTCATTGCCCTCAACTTTTGCATGGAAAGAGTTCTTAATTTTTCTCCATCCCAAACTCCAACCCGACACATTCTTTTGCTTGCTGCCTATCCTTTCATACTCTTGCTGCAGCTCAGAGTAGTCACTCTGCAGCTCTGCCATCTTTATCTTTACATTCTCAAGTTCTGCTTTTAGATTCTTAATATCTGCATCTGTTGATGAGTGGTTCCCTTCCTGTTCAGAGTTATTACCACTTTGTGATTCCTTCTCTTGCATCGCCGTCCTCATCTTTACTTGTTCTGAGAAAAGCACCTGCACATGTTTCATATTCTCTTCCTCTAGTGAGAAATGCCAATTTTGATGGACCACGTACTGGTTGGCACTAAGATATGAAATGGTCTTCAAATGCTCAGTTAATTGTGTAAGCCTTTGTGAGGATTTTACATCTTGATTAAGTTAAGGGTCTATCTTCTTTTAATTTTATTTCCCTTTTGAGAGGAATGCCTTTGTGAAATCCATTTTTCAGAAGCATTATGGTTTCTGAAAATTTTGGGTGTCATAAAAAGGGAGAGCAAGGGCATAAGTGTTATTTGAAGGTCAGGGAACAGTTAAGTAATGATTAATTCGTTTTTGTAACAATTAATATACAGCAGTCCAAATTGGCACTATACAAGATTGAAGTGTTTGAGTTCTTATAAGAGTCTGATTGACTTTTATAATTATATGTTCTTTTCTACCAATTTTGTATGATGCTGGTGTAATGCTAATTTGCTAGAAAACTCTTAGCATGAATTTTGTCCAGTTGCTAAGTGATTTTTTTTCCAAAGTGCAGATGAACTTTTGTAAGACGATATGTGGTTCTAGCATGTTTGGTGGGAGATTGAAATTCTTTCCTTCCAATTTCTTGCAATTATTCATACCTGAGACCTGCCCTGCCCTGCCCTGCCCTGCCGCATCTCACATCTTTATCACTTAACCCAAAGCCTAAGGGCAAGTTATAGGCTTTTATTCTGTCTATGTTGCAGAAATTATCTCACAGCATTTTATTTGGTTAGTGCCTAGGTGGTTGAAGTTATGTGACAATGCCTGCCATTTAGCACATATCTGAGTGAAATGAGGTTAGATGCCACTGTAATCTCCATTGTAGTTTAGCCCCTTAGGTTGCTCTTGCATACTTTGTCTGTAGCAATTGCATTTTTTCTAGTGATTTTTACTAAAAAGACCGTAAGAGGGCCATAAATGTCTTTCAGTTAATTTTTTATTTTGTTTCTTTTGGGGGGTTGGGGGACTAGGGATTACTCCGTGTTGGATGAATTCGGCTATGTGTTTGTAGTATGAATTCAATGTGCATAAAAAATACTGCTACACAACAACAAAAAAGGGTGCTTATTACAGTTTGTAGTAATAGTTAATCTTTTTTCCTTTTTTGTTCTCATTGATTTTCTTCTTCGCATAAGCCTCACTATTAGTGTCCTTGTGATGCTGCGTATAAATTATAAATACCTTAGCTTGTGGTTGGTGGAGGTTCTTGGGTTGCATTTCTTTTTCCTGTTATTACATATAAACTTGAAGTATCTTTATAATTTAATTCAAATGCAAGCCACTAAATATGTCTTGATAAAAGACCTAGATTCCTTAAGGATATAACTGATATCTTAAAATTTTTAACTAATTTTCAGCAGGGACCAATGATACAAAATTTATGTTTTAACATCGTGTGTGATTCTTAAATGTTACCTGGACAATGGTTCTCATAGGCAGTCGATCATTTTGTGCAGCATGCATGCATGCGTCGAGCGATAGTTTACTACAGTTCATTATTCTACATAGCCTTCTCCGGTCATGCTCGGGTAGTGAAGGATGGGTCTGAAAAAAAAGGGTTAGATTTTAGGTTATAAATTGCTTTAGGTGTAAACTAGAGAAACAGGTGAAAAAGTCACCTTGAGGTAGGTATCAATGGCTCTGTAGAGACCATCATCACATGTCCGTGCATTTTCTGGCAGTAATTCAGCCAATATTTGAAACTTGGTTATGGAGAGGTTTGGGTCTTCGGCAATCTCTGCTAGGTAGTTGTCTAACAGCTTACTAACATTGATTCTACCAGTCTTCTGTTGCTGTTCTTGCTGCTCATGCATCAAGAAATATTCCACAATCCTTTGCACGACTTCAGTGTCGTGCATTGTGCATTGTGCATTCTTCAGGTGAACTGTACTACACATTATGAAAATTAACAAGAACATGAGTGTTGGTTATCAATTGACTTCTTTGAAGGATTCTATTGTAATTATGTTGTTGAGTCTGACTAAATAAAGAATGTAGAATACTCACTTAACTAGTTTCCCTTGATCTGCATTATTGCAACTAGGAATCAACAGATCATTCACATTGGCATCTTCTAATATCATCCCCACTCTCTTTTCAAGCTCTGAAATCAAAGCTGGTGATGCAGAGTACAGCATGGCCATCTTTAACATCCTCAATAAGAACTTACATGAAACAGCTTCATTTTGAGGAGGAAGTACACTCACTAGGCTTTCAATAATTATTTTTTGCTCCTTGCTGTGTACATAACCCCCATCCTCTTTACTCCTACTCAATATACCGAACTGGAGGTCATTTTTTCCAAACCCATATCCTCTTTGTCCTTCAAACTCCACATCCATGCCTGGCAACCATCTCTCTGCATAGTGCATGATACATTTACCTATAAACTCTGGTCTTGTACTCTTTGCCTTTATTGCTGTTATAATCCTCATGAAATGATCTATTCGAAAGGTAGCCACTTCATTAAACCACCAGCCTTCTTGACAGTCTGTATCTCCAACAATGTTTTCTCTAGAAGTCTTCCAAGCAATTGAGTCACAGCACCTTCTGACAATTTGAAGATTTTCAGCCCATGGAGATAGAGTTTCACAAGATTTAAGTACAGTAATGGTGTCTTTCCACGAAGAAAGGACTACAAACGTGAGAAAAGCTTCAGTCTTAGAAATGAGATTTCCATCTTGAAGATCTTCTGTCATTTCTAGAAATTCTGAGGCGCATCTTAGTGGTGCTATGTTGTTAGGGTTCAAGTCCAATGGAAGACCATAACAAAATTTTAAAATGATTTCGAAGGTTTCTGATCCACCTGGGAAGCTTTCAAGCTTGAGGTCATAGCCAAAATTTGAAATTGAAGGCTGAAATTCCAATCGACCAATGTAGCCACATTTTGATACCAAGGGATACTGTAAAAAGAAATAGAAATGAAATAGGAACCAATTGAGTACTTTGTATATGTGTGTTTTCCCCTGGTTGCATATTATTATTTAGTTCCTATGAAATGTACTGTACAAAATTGAATTCATAAGACAAAGTTCATGCTGTGGCATTCAAGCTTTGTGTGTGCAAGTATGTCAATAATTTGTATGAAGTCCAAATGTAGGAAGTTATGCAGTCACCTATCATTGCTTTATAATTGTTGGGTTCAATCACTGTGTGTTTTCCCTTGTAGATAATTTTCTTTTTTAAAGTATATGGCATGCATTATGTATGTGCAAAATAGGAAGGCATAAACATTGTGATTAAAATAAAAAATTGGTTGATTCAATTTAAGCACTGAGTATTGTGTAGCGTGTACTGTTTAGATTGACTTTAACCTTGATTGGCACATAAGTTATAGGAATTGATACTAGGAAAGAGTTATATGGCTGTCCCATGGTCAAGCAGAAAGGGAGAAAGAGAACACTCTAGTTGCTTCACTTGAAAGTGTGCTTTTCGACGGTTAGTTTTGCTTTGATGTAGAAGAGGAAAATAAATGGCGCTGATATTATGAAACCACACAAAGATATTTTCAACAGAGGAGAAAGAAAGGGAGGGTTCCTAAGTACTCTGTTATTTCAGTGTTCCTTGATGACAGGACGTTCTGGTTAATTCACTGGAAAATTCTTGCATGTGGTGTATGCATCTGTTCTGAATTATAATACATGGATCAAATAACGGTTCCTTTTGGGAAAAACATCATCTTGAATGTAACCTAGCATCTCTATTAGAATAACTATGATCATAAAATGAAGGCATGTGATGAACTTAATATTTCTGGTTGTTTATCTATATTTGTACTGGAATTGTGTATCATGTAAGAAGTTTGGTTTTGCTTGCAATTTTCTCTGAACTTCTTGTATGCAAACTTTTATGAGCTCTTTTAGGTATCAACTTATTGAGTATGTTTGTCTTGCTCTGTAGTTACCTTGTGAACGTTAAAGGTGACATCTTGAACTTCAATTGTTAGGTCTGTTGGGACATGAGAAGTGATAAACCTGCATGAATTCACCAAAAGAAAGAGTGAGAGGGATGAGAAACAGTTGAATAGGATATGGAGGTGCACAAATCTGTTGTTATTGAATGTTCTGCAAAAGAAATAATATTTTAGCCTAGACTTTCTCTAGGAGCAGTATAGTATAGATCTTTAATGATAAAACTGGGTTTCTTGCCAATTCTATGATGCAATTGTAGTTGTACCAGGAGTGTTCTTTCTTTTCGAAGCTATTTGCTATGGTGATGTGTTTGGAAGGAATTACGATGCTTTGTCCGTGAGTGCCCTTGTAATCGCACTCAGGAGTTTGTGGTGGAGTTAGAGACTTCTTCATGGTGACTTGACTCCTTCGCTGGATTTGTTTTTGAGTGACACTTCATTTGGATGAATAACATGATATAAGAAACTGGGATGTGATCTGAATAAATGCATGAGAAGTGAGTCTGTGGTTGTGATCAATGTACTATTAAGAGGGTTGGTGGAGTGCCCTCTAACTGTTGCATAACACAAGAGACTAATTTGGTGAATGTGTTATGAAAGAGACAGGGAATGTGGGCTCTCTTATTCTTAGAGGTCAGTTATCGGCCCTGTAAGTATGAAAGCAACCAACAGATGATTGTGTGGTTATGAATATAGATAATCTCTTACATAATTTTGTGAATCTCTTGGTCACAGAATAATTAAGTATGAGTTGATGTAACATCTAGTCTACTAATGTTGCATGTGGATGACACTTCTCTAGACCAATGTGAAAGAAGTTGGATTAATATTTCCTCGATGGATTTTTAACCCATACAAATCAAAACACAATCTATGTAACACCTCAGAAAAATTCCCAAACCAAATTCCCAAACCAAATACACGTATCCGCAAAAGCACTGCCCTTTTCTATAGTTATCCTTGTTGTAAATGGTTATGAAAGATTTAGTTGAATGTGGACAATACTGTATAGCTATCCTTATGGATTTCGGAGATGAAATCTCTTTTCTTTTTGGTGAATAGCGATAGTCTAAACTACAAGGGGGAGGGGGTTTTCACACACTATTAAGGTGTCAAGTAGATTCGAATCTGAGATCATTGATCTGCAAATTAAGGTCCTTTTTCATTGGGCTAGATCCATTCCCCATTTTTCATTTTTAGTTTTTGGTATTAGGTGACGAGATTTTGAATAATGCAATAACTGTGTTGAAGAAATTTTGAATAAAATTTTATTTCTTTTTAAGTGTAATGTGATTTTTGACACAAATCCCTTGTATGTGTATGTGGTTGAGGTTGAACTTGTGCATAAGCTCCTAACTTGTGTATTATTTCTTTAGTGTGTTGTGATTTCACTTTCGTGGATGAGTTGTACTTGTGCATGTGCTCCTAACTTGTCGTGCATGCATGACGTGTAATGACACATCCATGCACATGTTGGTGTAAAATACACATAACCTTTCTTTGAGCTCAAGAATTGAAGGTTTGCAAAGAGAACCTTGGCATATGCTTAATTAATGTTTTGTCCTGCAGAAAAATGTCCGGAATCTCACTTTGCCCTATGAACGTTAAATTGAATTTTCATTTTTTACTTTACCCTAACTTGTTAAGTTTGTCATATTTTCCGTTTAAGGTGTTGATGTGACTTATGCATGATTCTTTGTTTTTTCTTTTTGGTTATATGTATGCCACGTGGAGATTAGATTCAAACTTGATTTCTCTTTAAGAATTTAAAAGACATAAAGGCTAACATGTTATAGATAAGTGGGAAAATGATGGATGCCCACCATATATCTTTTGCTATAAAACCTACCACTATGTCGTGCCCACTTTATTGTACCTACTAAGATATAGTTTTATATTTACATAGTGTGGTAAATAGTGTTTCTCATTTGCCTATAAATACCAGGCATCATTTGAATGAATATATCAGTTCCTACAAGTATCAAAGATTGATACCATTCTCTCTCAATTTCTTCTAAATCCTACTAATTTTATATCATAACAATGGTTTTCATTCTAAGAAATGTTTTTCCGGCTCTTTGCCTATGACTTCTCTATGAAGTAATGTAACAAAAATTTCGTTGACGGCTTGTGAAAGTAATAAGAGCGCGACCTCATCTGTAATGGGCTACCTGCTAGCTAGCCTCCAACATCCTCCGATTCTTACACTTTCTCCCACCATTTACAAGTCCCTGGTGTCTCGGGACCTCCTCCTCCCTCCTAAGGATTTGATGGAAAAGGGAGGATGAGAGAGAAAGAGAAAGTTAATAAGAAATTAAAAGAGGGAGGGGTCACTCGCTTTGTTTTTTGGGTGGATTTTTAATTGCAATGGTCACACGAGTTTCATTTCGGTCCTCCAAAAACATTCAAACCAAAATTTAGGGGGAGGATTCCCATAAAACATTCTTGAGTGCATATATAACTACTATAATTGCGTGTTCACCAATTTAAGATGTAGAACTGTAGTTTTAAGGGTGTCTTGTATATAAATTGTTATGATTCGGTCGTCCACATATACAATACTAGCTCTGTATCCTACATGTACAAATACATGAGGGGCATGTGAAGTTGATTGTGAATGCATGAACCATTTTCCTACTATACTCGATAACTTTTTCAAAGTGCAATTTGACAAACATGTTTAATTTTAGTTTAGTGTTAGTGTCATTTAGTTTTCACTTTATTTAAGAAAATCTCATAAACGACAATTGTAAATTTAAATTATTTATAAAAATAAAAAATAAAAAGTAATGCCAGATGCGGCCGAAATTTTAACAAAAGAGGAGGGGCAAATTCGGGCACCAAACCAAATATCAAAGATCTGACTTTTGCTGGTCTTCGTCATGGTTGGCGGTTTCTCCTCGGCACCATATATAAAACGCTGAACTCAAAAACACGAAAAAGGAAAAACGAAGAAGAGAAAAAACAAAGGCGTTAAGTCATTTTCCTCTTTGCTCTTCTGAGATTCAGATCCAAATATCCACAAAAGAAGGAAACGTGGGAGGGAGCTGAACAATCTTGAAAATGGCGACGGTGTCTCCTCTGGCTAAATACAAGCTGGTCTTCCTGGGCGATCAGTCCGTCGGAAAAACCAGCATCATCACCCGCTTCATGTACGACAAATTCGATACCACCTATCAGGTATTTTTCCATCCCCTTCATCATTTCATTCGATTTGGGTGAGTTCTTGCTCCGATCGCCCAATTTTAATTGCTTTTGTGTGATTTTGGGTATATTGGATTTGCAGGCTACGATTGGGATTGATTTTCTGTCGAAAACGATGTACCTTGAAGATCGGACAGTTCGTTTGCAGCTTTGGTAAGGATGCATCCAGGTTCCTTGTGATTTATGGTTGCTTAAGTAAATGGTTTTGTAGTGAATTAGGATGAAGGTTAATGACAATATACATATATGTGTGTGTGGGCGGGTGTCAATTTGTTTGAGGCTGATCCAATTGTTTGGTGTTTACAAGTGAGTCGGAGGTTGCATCGCATCCATATGGATCACAAAAATGATTTGTTTCTTTCTATTCTGAAATTATTTTGAGAAGCAATTTGGATAAATTTATTAGAGTTGGGGGGAAGGTGGCAAATTTTCCATATTTTTCTTGCATGGGGCCGAAATCTTGTTTATGACAATGGTTTAGATCTTCATTGTGGTGCATCATATGGTCAAAAAGTGAATGGCAACTCTGCTAGAAAGAATAGAGCTCCACATTAGTAAACCAATTAGTGCATTTTTTATTTGTACAAAGTTCGACAGACAAAGGTGTATGTTCTGCTTCATGGTTCTTTTGATGACCATTTGGTAGATCAAACTTTAGGGCTT